CTGGGGGCGAGGCGGGCGCCCCCCGCCCCGGGCGCTCCCCAGCCACAGCCGCCCGGAGGTCATTTATTTCCAGGAGCGAGTGGGTTTCAGGGAGACAACGTTTTTTTCCTTACATGGCCTTAGGAGGGATGATCAAGGCTGGCAGCCCTAGGGAGAGAAACCCCGTCAGGAGCTATGGAGGCACGGGCTCGGAGCCCTGCGGCGGTGCATGGAGAGCGGGAGTCCTTCCTAGGGTGTATAAACGCTCCCATGGCTTTTTCCTGGTTCCCCCAGTAACACACATCCCATTTTCTTTGAAAGAATTGTGAGGAAGGAAAGAAATGAATAGAAAATGCATTATCCAGGAAGACTATCGGGTAAAGGTAAAGCAGATTGTAGCCTGTGGTGCAGAACCCCAGGGGAGTGCAGATCTCCGTGTGTGTCATGTGTGTGTGTGGTTTCTTTTATTTTTTATTTTTTTTTTATTTTTAAAAAACCCAACAGATGTGATGTTTGGACCTGAATCCAAATCCGGGTCTGAATTTCCTCACAGATCGGGTTTCTTTTGTTCTGGGACCCCATTTTAATTTGTGGACAGTTAGAGAGCGAGAAACGCAGGTTTCCTGGAAGCAGTCTGGGTGATGCTGGATCATTAGGTATCAACAGAAATGACTGAAATACCACATGTGAGTGCTAGTGGAAATGGTAACAATTTTGGAAAACTGAAGCCTTCTTACTGGAGTGCTACCAAATGTAATTGTTTAATCTAGTAGGGCAGAATAAATGTATTTGGAAGCTGGAAGTCTAATTGATGTAGGCCCTGTTTCCTGCTGTTCTCACCTCAGTGTGCTATCTATCAGGCACGCTTATTGCATTAATTTTTGCCTGTACTTTTAAATTACTTTTGACTACTTTTTAACACAACACTAGGTCTTTCTGAGAGTGGCAGAACTGCAGTGGAGTAAGATATCTGGTTAGCTGGAGAGCCGTCTGATGGAAGGGGGACGACCCCCCTGCTCTGCCCAGCCCCTCCCCATTGCCCTTGCTGTGTTCCTTCTGGTGCTTATTCTTCACTGCCAGCAGAGTACCACATATCTCCAGTTGATGTAATTTGGGAGTCAGGAGTGCAGGAGTTGGGTAATTCCAAAGAGGTTGTAGAGACTTTGCTACTGGCAGACGAGTTCAGGTGCACTTGCCCGTCGGAATCCAAACGGAGTGCCCCAGGATTCACCATCCCGCAGCCGATGGGGCCATGTGCAGTAATAGTTAAATCTGGCACATCCTCGTGTGACAACACAAGACACAGTTATCCTGGGTTTTCAATTACTTCACAGGAAACTGTCAGGAAAGAAATATTCCTGGAGCAGCCCACCAAGTCTAGAGTTTAATTCCTCTGTATATTTTTCTAAAATGATCTCAGATTGTAAGTCTGCAAGTGGAAATCCATGGGGTGAAATTTGCTGTGCAGTTCCACGGTAAAGAGAGTGTGTGTGTGAAAGGGGTGGAGAGAGAATCTTATGCAGCTTTCACTGCTCAGCTGTCCACTGAGAGCTGTCTAGGTTTAAATTGTGTAAAATGTGATTGGTACTCAAACCTGAATTGTTGTTCTGTGTGTTCTGTAGGAAAAACATACTTCAAGGCTCATTTTGCCTTATATTTAGTATATGTTATTTTTGCAGTTATGTAAAATAGGGATAGAGTTTTACAACCCTTCCCAAATTATGTGCTTGACTTGTCATTTTGCATCTGTATAACTGCTAGAGCAAAATTTCAGGTGGTGAGGAATCACATGCAGCATAAACGCACAGGTTTGTTTTGGGGACCGATTTCAGATGCAGCCTTTATACACAGGCAGTGTTAAATCCTGCACAAAAGTCAGAGAATAGCTTAATACCTGTGCTGTTATTTTGCCTATAACAAACTTCATTAAACATCTCGCAGCAAACTGAGGCAGGGACATGGGTCCGTTGTGTGCTGAGGCAGAGGAATGGTCAGCATTAGCTGTGGGATGGACAGTGTGGCTTTAACCCTGCAAACAACATTTTGCATGTTTTACCTTGTAAATGCATCCAACTGGGACTGGTTAAATATCCAGCCCTGTTTTCCTGCTTCCTTGCTAGACAGCCTACTGCAGAATGGAATGGTAGTTACAGCTGTGAGTTAATTGGCCTTTTCTCTGAGTGGCAATAGTCTATTGTAATGAGTGCCACTTGTATCAGTTTCAGTAACACAAAGCATAATGCTTTCTTGGCAAGTTAGGCACCTGCAGACTTTCTAATCTTACATGGTAATTAAGACTTTGCCTCCATCCGGCTCCAGTGAATGATGGGTATGAGCGCTGGGACTGGGTGCAGGTGCTTTATTGCATACTTAGTTGATGAATGTGCAACTCTATTTGCAACCACTGTCTTCTATTGCTGTAATTATATTCAGGTTGTTACAGTGACTTACTGTAAGTCTGATCAAGTATTGCCAATGGGTGTTCACA